AGTGTCAGTAAAGGTAGAAGTCAAAGAGTAAGTAACAACTGTGAAGAGAATATATCTATGAGAAGTGTCTTGGTGAACAGTGATCATTTCTGGTCATTCTTTGGTCCCACACATAACATTTCTCTAAAAGGGATCTGGCCTCATATATAAATTAATTTTTCAATCAAAACTCATTTTACACAAAAGTAAATGTTACCACCACTGAATATTAATTCTAATTTAATATTGTATCTAATAAGTGGTCTTTGTTGACAGATTACCTGGTGAAATATGTACTGTGCAGCATGCTGTGAAACGCTGTTTGAAACGCACTACTTTCAAACAAAGAATTATTGATAAGAAACAATCTTGTAAAAGCATTACTAACCACTCGGTTACAGTTGCTCAAGGTTCGGTTTCTGATAATAGCCAACAGTTAATTGAAGAAAGCCAATTTTGTGATGGAATGGGTCACAAAGAACAAATTAAATGCCACAGTGCCAAGAAGAAATATATTTGTCAGGACTGTGGAAAAAGCTTCCCACAGAAGAGTAACCTAATAGCCCATACAAGAACACACACTGGTGAAAAACCGTTTTCGTGTATCAAATGCGGGAAATGCTTTGGGCGAAGAAGTACGTTACAGGATCATATTAAAACCCATACGGGAGAGAAACCATATCTGTGCGAAGAATGTGGTAAACATTTCGCCAGGAGTAGCCACCTCAAAGTTCACTTAAAAGTTCATTCTGGAGAAAGGCCATTCTTTTGTAATGTATGTGGAAAAAGTTTTGCTCATGGATGCCATCTTAAAGATCATTTGATTACACACTCTGGAGATAAACCATTTTGCTGCACAGAGTGTGGAAAGTGTTTCACAAGTAGTAGCATTTTTAAAAGACACTTAATGAGACATTCGGGAGAAAAGCCATTTGGCTGTAATGAATGTGGGAAACGTTTTAGTGGTAGTAGTGATCTGTATATTCATACTAGGACACACACTGGAGACAAGCGCTATTGCTGCACAGAGTGTGGGAAAAGATTTCTTCTAGGCTGTCACTTGAAGGATCATATGAAGATACATTCAGGAGAAAAACCATTTTCTTGTGTAGAATGTGGAAAATGTTTTGCACGTAAACAAGTTCTCAATAAACACTGCAAATCTCACCGTTAGAATTATTTTATTGCTGATTAATTTGTTTGAGGAAAGCCTTTATTAATATGTGCTATCCGTGGCACTGTTTCTGAAAATTCATTTGTGTACAATGTTTGAAGTTGAGTACGTGAGGAGATAATGCAGAGGGAGAATGACATAAAAGTGATATCAAATATTTTATTCTTCTGTTCTAAGAAGCAGATGGAAACTAGAGAACATTGAGAATAGGGGTCTCTCAAGATCTGACCATTTAGTTTTCAAAGAACTCAAGAATACTAACAGGTATATTTACACTTCTATTTAACTTTTGACTGATTTAGCTTTTGATATGGTAACAACAAAAAGAACCCTAATTACAGTTTTGTGATAATATAGATGGAATACATGACCATTGTCACAACACAGCTAGCAGAAGCAATTTCAATATCTGCTACCCTTCTAATTATGCAGTAAGTAGCCTACCTTAGATAGGAAAATTTATGCAAGTATATTGTTATGTGAATCTCAAGTTACTTTTCACTTATGTATGGGAGTTAACAATGTTAGGAAGACTCAAATATGTACAGCAGGGCTGAGGTTTCATACAACTCTTTAAATGTTGAGGTGTAAGCCACTTTGTGGCAAAATAAATTGAAACAGGAGCTCAAATATTGAGTTTCATGAATTTTCTCATATTATTTGGAATATAAAAAATTGCTACAGCAGTTTGAAGAATCCATTATTGTAGTTACTTATAAAAATGGCAATAAAACTTGTGTAGTGACTGTCAAGGAAAATCAATATTATCAAATACATACAAAATTTTGTCCAACAGTCTTCTCTCCGTATTAACTTTGTATGTAGATAAAATTACTGTGGATCATCAGTGTGGATTGTGATGTAACAGACTAAACATTGATAAGATATTTTGCATTTGTCAGCTTTTTGACAAAAATGGAAATACAGTCAGGTAATAGGTATATGAGGTATATTTACAGGCTTCAAGGAAACCAATAATTTAGTAGAGAAGACCTAAGGATTACAAGGTGCCATTATGCATTAATTAAATGTAGCATAACGTCCATACAAAATTCCATTCCATATTCATCGCCCTGATAACGGAGGCAGTATGACCTCTGAAACGTTGGTTAACATCGACCAGACTACACAGCGCAACAACCCAGAAGACGGAAATCTTCAAAATTCCATTAATTTCCATACTTTTTCCTCGTACAGTTTAGGTGTGCAGTGTTTATGTTTCGTTAGTGTTTGCTCATATACCGAGATTCTTTGGTACGATCAAAGCATTAGGTCTAACGAAGATTCGGATTATATAAAAGCAGGGTATTTTTTTATTCATGAAAGAACTCGCATCATGAAGTTAGTGTGACCTGTCTTTTGTACGAAAACCACTTTACGAAATTTAACGTAATATCTGGTATTTGACTACTTAATTTCGGCACTTGACGATTTAGTGCCATGCACAGGTCATTGGTCTGCTTTTCAGAAATGTTGGGGTCCTTGTTTGATAGGCTTCTTATGTAAAAATAACACTTGAACGAATTCATTTTTAGCCTTCATGTAACGTTTCCTTAATCGCAACAGAATGGACAGACGGTCTTGATTGGAACAATAAAAGTACAGAGTACAGGCATCATTCTCCAAAAAGCCGTGAAATGATGAAACTGCGTGGGGTGGAAGTAGCTTGTTGTCCGATTTTAAACTTCTTTAAGAGTACAGTTTTGTGGGTATGTTTGTAAAAAGATGTCACTAAATTTTAGTTGCATATGTCGGCTTTGCATGAAACAAAATGGTCCATTAATGCGTATTTTCAGCGAAGAGAATGGAGGGCCAGTACCTACTATCCCTGCAAAAATAAAGAGCTTTGCTCCAACTCTTAAGGTAAATAGTATATACTCACCAAATTCGAACAAGATATACTAGTGTAGAATAGTTGACAGGTTTAATTTGATTAAAGGACTGATTTCCAAGCGTAATGCATGCTGAAGTGAGTAAATATGACACAGCATGAGCTGAGAACAGAATGTAAAAAGTTTAACAATCAATCCAATTTAATGGTATATAATGGTTTTACATGTGTATTAATTGGTACAACTATAGTACTCTTCCTGAGCCTTCTGCCACCTGTGTATTGTAGTATTTGAGGTTTTCATGGCACAGCAACCCAGAAGACAGCCATCTCAAGTCATGTAAATAAGAATGTTGTATAGTTACATTTGTAGTAATATTAAGTGTAGCCGGACAATTCCGTGGATCATGCCTCAGCTTCTTTCCATAAGAAATCTAAGTTATGAAGGACATCAGTTTTTAAAATTTATATTACACAATGAACATGGGCTGGCAACCCAACTAAATGGAAATTTCTGTTGAGGGTGTTTTGGTTTACCTCACAACCTGTTTCTGCCCATCCGTGGCTAATCAATAGGAGAATAATTGTTTGCCAAGAAGTGGACTAAGTTCCAGTCTGGCTGACCAATTAGAATCTGCAGATTTAAACAAACTAAAAATGCTTCATTGTTTAAAAAAAAGTTTTTCTTAACATTGGTGACACTTACAAAGCACTTGTAGCTTGGTACTGGTAGACAGCAGTCACCCTTCAGTTTCCAATTATTATTCAAATTATCCGAGAAACAGAAGAAAAGTGATTCAGGTTTTTTTTTTTGTGAACTTCAACTACAATAATAAAAAGGCTTATTGCAAATGCAGCACAATTGAATGCATACCCATATCCCTGAGATGACCTCATTACTCTACCAACAGCTAGCCAGGACCCACTTAAACATCACCTCCCTCTGGTTTACCATTACCTAACCAATAATGGCCCCATCCCTGAGTAAGAAAAAGTAAAAATGATAGTGAGGCAGTGTAAGGGTGTATAAGTTATCTGAGATATATCTGTCATACAAATTTTCAGCAGTTAGTTTTGTTTTAGACAATGGGCAGTGGCTAACAAAATCCTTCACCATTACTTAACTTTAGGGAATCATTAAAAGCAGGATCTCAGTATATCTTAGAACCAGTATACACTATACAAAATCCATTTGGCCACAGTCTCACAGTATGCTGCATACAGATATTTTACAGAACATTTTTATAAACTTTGTGTTGAATATTAAGATGAGGAAAGAAAATAATGTATGATGATCATGGTCTGCTGGCTAGTGATACTCGTCATCTTGTAGGTGGTTACCAACATTTCAGAAAACATACTACCTCCATTTCTACCCTGAAGAAGGATATGATATCCTCCAAAATAACAGTAACCACCAACAACACTACTTGACATCAGAAGTTAGAAGCCTTTGATATACATTTTCACTGCTGCTAAAGCCTCAAATCTCATACAGAGTAATGCAGGCCATACTTTAATTAGTTTTCTGAACCTTACAAGCGATATTAAGCCATTTACTAAATGTTAATACAGTTAGACTGACTAACAATATACTTGCCCTAACTCTGTTAACTTGTCTGTGGTAAATAGTTGAGAATATTTTTGGGGTTGTGTTTAAAATTCATTTTTGTCCGTTGATGGCATCTGCTTAGTCCACCAGAGCAACAAAGCCAGTCTTTTACTGTAATTTTATCTTTCTTACAGCTGTATGCTGGTGATGGTCTGCCAGATCAGATCTGTCAGCAGTGTGCATGCCAAGTAGATACAACATACAAATTCAAACTTCAATGTGAAAGTTCGGATGCTACATTACGGCAGTCCCTCATCAATCAGACAATTCAGGTAACTTTATTTACAGTGCAAAATCATGTTATGAGTAAAGGGACTACAGAAATTTATAAAATAATACCTTTTGTAGCAAGAACAAGAAATAAATATATTATAATGGGTTTTGCATAAACCAAAATGGAACAAGCATTTCTGGCTGGACCTAAAGAACTCCACAAAAAAATGATTTTATTGAGTCACCATTTTGGTGTGTTTAAACAGAGAACACTTGCTTTTCTTGTAAAAGTAAGTCTAAAATTATGTCTAAATTACTACTTTGGTATTTTTGCATTATAATATTGTGGAAGAATAGTTTCTAGTGATGATTTGTTCATAATAGTAACTAGTTTCTCTACATCGTTTGCCCCAGAAGACTGGAAAGTTTTGTTTCTCCATGTGAACTTCATCTTGTGTCTCAATATGACTTTAATTTTTTGTTTAGCATTCAGCTCATGAAATATTCTTTACTGTTTTGGATGTGGGATGTGGTAATGACTCCAGGAATAATTCCACAATAAAGCGTGAAGTAAAAGAAGAAATAATTACAGATGAAAATCACATTCAATCGGAGAACAATCAAGAGCAAAGGTTTGTTCTCATTTTCTGAGTGTTTCACAGTAAGAACAAAATTGACACTTTCTGATACTGAATCCTACTACTCATAGACACAGAGTACCTTGGAATTTAAATGTCTGAATATGATATGTTCTGAATGTATTGTATATATGTGAACAAATAATTTTAATCCATTCCATTAGATAACTTCAGTGTCATGTGGTGCAATTTTTCTTAAATTGTAAAATCAAAATGATTTTTCATATTATTTATTTAGTTGAAACACCACTTTTCTTTTCAGTTTGTCCAAATATATGCATTAATTTAAAAGTGATTAAATACAGTTATAAAATAAAATCAATGTTTATATATCAGGAATTTCCAAGTTTTATAAGGTCATTTTAAGGTTTAATGACAGCTTATAGTGGTTATTTAATTGTTACAAGTATTAATAATCTGTAATTCTCTTTTTTGGTATTAGTTTGACTGTACTAAATGATCATGTTCTTTTTGTGAATTTTATTTGTGGTTTATTTAAACATTTGAAGCCTAAGCCCTTCTAAATATTATTTGAAGATTAAGTTTCTACCACAAAGATAACAACACATGTCCATTAAAAAAATCAGTTAGTTAATGTTGTTCAAGGAAATTATTGCTGTTTATTTGTGTTAAAACACTTGTGGGAAATATGCAAAGTTGCATATTTTTAAAGTAGGTGGTATATTAGTTTACCACAGGTTTTGATGGATTAATGATTATGTTCATTTTACGTTGTGTATGTTTGATAGTATATTTATTTGTTGCCAGGGTAGGTAATGATGCATTCAGAGGAAATAATGATGACTCATGGACAAACTTTCAAATTGAACCATCGTCCAGTAAACTGGTTGTGAAAAATAAAGTTCCAAAAAATAATAATTTTAGTCCATCAAGAAGAATAATTGTAAAAAACCATAAAAAGCAAGATGTTTCCCGAACATTTAATGTGAAAGCTCATAAAATGGTAGAGAAAGGATATAATTCCTTAGCTTCAGAAGCCAGTGTCAAATCAGGAAGTGAGGAGGCATTTTATGCACTTGAACAGGAAACACTATCTGCTGAGTGTGTTAAAGATGGTGGTGATGATGATGATGATGATGATGATGATGATGAGGATGTAGATAATGAATTCAGTGTTAAAGTTCAAATGAGAGTAAAGAAACCATATATAAAATTATTTCATTGTCATGACTGTGGTAAAAACTTTGCAAAGAAAACACAATTGGTCTTGCACATGAGTGCACACACTGGTGCAAAACCATATATATGCAGTCAATGTGGAAGGACTTTTGCAAGTAGAATTAACTTGAAAAAACACCTGTTTACACATACAGGAGAAAAACCATATCTTTGCACAAGATGTGGTATAAGTTTTGGTCGTATAGACACATTAACAAAACATATGAGATCACATACTGGTGAGAAACCTTTCCACTGTTCTGTATGTGGAAATAATTTTGCACGTCGTAGTACCTTTACAAACCACATGAGAACACATTCTGGAGAGAAACCATACTTGTGTACTGAGTGTGGTTGGCGATGTGTACAGAGCTATGATTTGAAGAAGCACATGAGGTGCCATACAGGAGAAAAACCATTTCGATGTACAGTTTGTAGAATGAGTTTTGGTCAAAGGAACAGTCTTACGAAACATATGAGGTGCCACATAGGAGAAGTGCCTATAACTCTGGAATGTGAAAAAGAAATGCACTACCAATGTCAAATTTAGTGTATTTTGTTTCTGTAAAAATGTATTAAAATAACTGAACATAACAGCTAAGTGGTTAGCACTTCTGCTGCTTACTCAGGATGTCCTGAGTTCAAATCTAAGCCCAGAGACTGGCAATCCTGGCTGAGGTTTTCCTGTCCCCAGGCAACTGATGGGAAAGTAAGTTCCTTTGAAGAAGCCATGACCACTTTCTCCCATATCCTTTCTAGTTCATTAATCATGCTGTTATTTAATGCTCTGTAGACACTGTTCCTGAGCATAATACAATAACCATAAATAAATAGAATATGAATGATTAACAAGTTCATGAGACAATTTCTGAAAAAAGTTGGTAATAATTTTAAAAGAATAAAGTAGGGTGAAATAGAATGGAACTAAAGAACTGAAAGCCCCTTTTATTCCAACAGTCATATCTCAAATAACTGTTAATACAATGAGCAACGATCAGCAAAGCTATTAGCCTAAGTGACTTTCATATTTAAAATGCATGAAAATATGCAATATAATTCCTGAAAACAATTTACCCAGGTAGGTATCAGCAACTGTATTCATGTGTGCACTGAACAATGTATGACACATTCTTAAGACTAAAGTATTGTTCCAGGACAGTCTGCAAAATAACATAAGTTGTCATGTTTGCTTTATCCTATGCTACACATCACTCTAGGATAAACATAATTTAGTCAGATTCGGCAACTTCCTTATATAGAGTTACAATACGTGTGTGTGCCTATTGAAGTATCCTACTCAGTGTGTCTGCAGTTGGGAAAACTTCTTTTCTGTCTTCCTGAGATAAATTTCTCATACACAAGTTATAGGAGCAGATGACTTCAAAAGCTCGAGCAGATTTTCTTTCATTAAATTTTTGTTTTCATTACCATTTACCGTAAGAAACTTTATGTGGTCAATTTTAAATGGTTTTGACATGGTGTGTTACACTCGGGATTACTAACTAACCTCCTGGACTTGTCCATTGTCAGGCACTAAAAGAACTCAACGTTTTGGAAACTGGATCAGTTTCCATCCTCAGGTGAATAGGGAAGGGACACCTATTCAGTTGGGTACATTAGAAAGAGCTAACTTCAGTCGTGGGGTCAGCAGTGGCCGGGCGGTCTGAGGAGTGGGCCTTGTGCCGCTTGGTCGCTGGGACTGTGGGTTCGAATCCCACTCAAGCCATGGATATTTGTCCGCATTTTCCTAAGTACCAATCCGTAATTCGCCCTGTTTAAATAACTATACATTACAGTCAAATATACTCACATGGAACTAATGTTATTTGCAATTTCGTGTGACTGTAAAAACCTGTTTTTCACTCTACTGCAAAAACAGTTCGATGGTGTTTGACAAAAAAGTGTTGAGAAAATATGTGGACATCACGAAGAAGAAGTAACAAAAGCCCAAAAGAAATTACATACTATGGACCATTTTCATCAAAATTACGTTTGACCCCTAAATTTCAATAATGACCTGAGACAAATAGCGTTTTGAGGTTTTGGATACCGGTAGTTGCCGAAATGTGTTGCCCGTTAGGCGATAAATGTTATTATTTAACTGTGTAAAGCTGTTATAGTTGCAATAAAACTACTTTTTTGTGTGTGTGACAAACTAATCTTATTCTGCTTGACTCATCGCCCTGATGATAGAAGCAGTTCGAGCCTCTGAAACGTTGTACAACTTCTACGAATTACTCTGTACCATATCACAGAAGGCTGTAATCCTTATTCTATTTATTGTTTTTCTTACATGTTACATGTTGCTGTAATCCGATATACGTGTATTATAATGTTACCCTGTTGCACTTCGTGTGTTTTGTTTGCAAGGCAGTTTTCAGATCCAGTTTCAATGTCACTTGGAAGGTTTCCTGATGTGAGTAAACACTGAATTATTTGCAGCTGTCGTTCGAAAATCCATCCGACTATCAGCAATATCTTGGGCAAAACTGAGTTCGTGAGTCAGTTTAAATAATGTTCCTTCTTCGTACTGTGTACTGTCATAAATTTGAAATGGGTGCTTCTACAAAGAACTAGGCGCCTACCATGTATGCTAATGTAAAATTGAATATCGTCTTTGAACAACAGCAAATGCATACAAACCCATCATCACATAACCGTGTTGCCTACAGCATATATACAGAATGTGGCCTGGGAGTGAGGCACTTGTTTTGAAAACAGGAAAAGACCCTCTGAACTAATCAACGAATTTTTATGAACACCATCCTATTAGAGACCGTCCCACCTCTGCAACAAAATATATATAAGATATTGTAAATGCGTCATATTGTGATTCATAATAACAATAAAAATCAGTAATTAGTGATAGGTTTATACTACATAACACCCGTTGATGGCTAAATTGTAGCCGAAACTAGTCGTGTAAGTTCCTGTAATCGAATACTACGATGAGGAACATTAAATGATGTTTTAATCTTTTAACATTATTATAATTGTGATTGACGGTAAATTTTTAATATATTTTTAATAAAAATATATATACTTTCTCTTCGACAATGGCAACTGAAACCACTGAATCTTAGCATGTAACATTTTAAAATTATCTATACGATGGTGTTAATGACAGTCTCTGCGAAAAAACTTAAAAATAATACATATTTATATTGTAACACGTACTTTAATATAAAAATATTTAATTCTTGAGAAATTTCGGTATCACACAAAGCAGCAATCTAACAAAAACATTTAATGTCACGTTTCTCGACACCTTTAGATTTTCAACTTTTTATTATTCATCAATATGTGACTGTGTCTCCATGTTATCATGTTATTTGTTTGTGTGTGGTTTTTCTACTGTACGTCAGTTATATTACGTAGTTATATAAAAAATATTTTCAGTTTTAATAAGAAAGAAACAACGCGCAATTTTCGTCGTTTACTCGTACGTTTCGTTGTTTACAATAACATTCTGCACAAGATAACTACGTAAACAGTTCCATCACTAATATTTTGCTACCTTTGCCAACAACAGACTTGAGCCCAATGTTTACTTTTGTTATGATTTATATGATAATACTTAAAAACGTCAAGCTAACTGCATGTGGTTGTAAACAAGACCCATGTTTTGTTTCTTTTACACTGCAACGTTCTGTTTACCGAATCCAATAATTTCGACAGCTGCTCAATAAGTGAGTGGAAAAGCGATAAGCACAATCTGGAACTGTGAAGAAAAATCCTACGCAACAAACCCGTTACGGGAGCATCACAGTATTCTTCTCTTTCCAGTTGGGCTCGGAGGTAGACAAAGTAGCTGATTGTAGCCCAGTGTACTGAATTATATTGTTTCTGTGACTTCAAAGTAAAAATATTTGCTATAAAACATTTTAAGCATAACCTAACTTGCACAATTAAGCAAATAAAGGTATGTAAATACTGGTTCTTGCTTGTTCCAATTTGTTGAATCATGCCGGGACGCTTGGTCAAAATTAGGTTACTGTCATGGCCTTTATATTGAAACTGCTTGACTATTATACTCTTTGTGGTAGATGATATGTCTAATTATCAACTTTAGTTTAAAATTTTTTATAACTTCAAGGGCAAAAAGATTTGTCAAATTTCACACTGTATTGCGACAGAAAGACTCCATAACAGTGTGAAAAACGATTAATTTCAATTTGAAATCCCGAGGGATTAAATTTTTCATCATTCCATTACTAACTAAATGGATATTGGTTCTTCTTGTGAAGTTAATAGTAACCCAGACAATCAAGAATCTCTCCCGTATTTTGTGCATCACGAAGGCTCATTGCCGTGTTCACAAGAACCAGAAACTATATCTTATCTTCTGCCTATCGAATCCATCCTATTTCTATAAAATCCCACTACTATCCTCCTGAGTATCCAAAGGCATCTCTTCCTTCAAGCTTTTGAGTCAAAATTTGTATACATTTCTCATCTCTACCACGCGAGTTAGATGTCCCGACTATCCTATTCTTTTGACCACCGTAATGTCTGATGAAGTGAACAAATTATAGCGCTCCTCGTTGTGAAATCTTCTCATCCGACTGCCACATAATTTCCCTTCGGCTATGCAAGATATTCTTTCCATCACCTTTTTCCAAACACCCTCACTCTATGTTCATTCTTCTCGAAGACGGATCAAATTTTGCAACCAACGGATAAAATCATGGTGGCGACTATTTTGTGCGTGGTCGTGTGTGTTGTGGCTTCGTGCAGTGTTGTCTATGGTTGCCAAAATTTCGGAGGATCATGCTGCCTCTATTTGTATGTGAAATCTTCCTCCGAAACGTTTGGAACCACAAGGGTAAAAACATAATTTTGTACACATCAATCTTTACGAATCTAGATAGGAGACGGTGGTAACAATTTCGAAATCAGAATAAGTTCTCTCTATGTATGTGTTCCTAAAGTAACTACGAACATTGTTTCCCATTTCAGAACATCTAAAAGTAATTATATGATTGACTGCCATGCTGACCGTCATGGTTCTTGCAATGTCTGCACTTGGGAGTTGTAACGAACTCCCAAATTATGCTACAGAACTGATCGGCAAAATGTGCCACGAGGTAGCGCGCAAGTACTTCCTGAAGTCCAAGTGCCTGGCTCTTGTCACAGAAGACAACAGCAAGATTCTGGATTACATGTACCCGCTCGATTTTCCAACGTTTCATATCCAGTTGCCACTTTCCTTCATGAAGAGTTCTGAACGGCTAGGTACAGTTTCATGCCAAACACAAGAAGATCACGTACGCGATTTCATGTTCTCACGGCGGCAAGTATGAAGATAGCTGTCTTCTGGGTTGTAGCGCCGTGTAGTATGGTAAAGTTTTCCGACGTTTCAGAGGTCCTTGCTGCCTCCATCTTTACGCCGCGCGCGGCAGCAAGAACCTGTGAAACGTCGATAACTTATATCAACTTACACGGCGCAACAACCCAGAAGACAGCCATCTTCATAACAAGATAATCTGTAGTCTACTGTCCCCAAGTAGCATTAGCGTGATCAAACCAAGGAGAATGAAGTGGGACACGTAGCACGCACGGAAAAAATAACATTTCAAAATAAATTTTATTTGCAAAATGTGCTTGCAAAAGTACCTAGGGACAGCTACGTATAGATTAGAGAACATTAAAATGAATCTTACGTAAACAATTTATGAGATTTAGGATTGAATTAAACTGGCAGGGACGACTGAGAACAGACAGCCGAAATATTATTAATTTACAAGAATAGCAATGACAGCTCTTATAATATTTAAATAATATTAATCTAACCTATATTGTTTACCCAATGTAAAACTTTTAATAGCTTGTACAAAGGAATAACCCTGCGGATGACGGAATTTAGCCGATACATGTCGGATAATTTTACTTTGTAAAACATTTTATTAGATGACAATTTAAATTAGGTGTAAGTGTAAAGTTTTAAATTCTTCGAATAACTATTCATTAAATTTTGTTAGTGTCGCTCCACCTTAATCGATAACGGTTTATTATTCTTTTATTACGTTTGTGCTAAGTTTAATGAAAATATGTCCGTTTTCTCTTATGTTATTAGGGTGTAACACCGGCTTACACTTATAATGGTCCCGATAATGGACTTGTCATTCCTGTTAAGGGGAATAGTCTAACTGGGGTCTGTTACTTAAAAATAAATAGCATAACAATAAAACCATCGTACAGCTAAAGAACAGCGGAGAAACTTGGTGGTTCAGTTATGCGTGTTGAATCATGTGAACATTTGAGAATGAAAACATTCTTCTTTTCGTATATGTGAAAGAAAAATAATCTATTCTCCCCAAAATTGTTGTTACATCATCACGTGTATCAGTCTAAGGAAATATCCGAATGAAATGTGATAAATCGTAGCCTCTTTAAACATAGATTTTGGGTTTCCACGGTGGTTAACTATGAATTTCGATCTTCTGGATTGTGTCTTCTACATTGAAGATTAATGTGTTACGTTCCACCGAAGCACTGTCATCTTTTATCACCCTAATGAACCATGATAAGAAACTTGAACTGTAACTCTTTAAATGCTTTTGTACCATGTGGCGACAAGGTGAATGATGCTTACATCAATTAAATGCATACATTTAATAGGATCGTAAATGTCTACGGGAGAGATTTAAACGTGATATAAAACGGGTCATCGTCAAGGCTACATCATCAGTCAACGTGTGTGACCTTTAAACTTGTAGATATTTGATGTGTATAAATACTAACATCTCAATTTTCACAGATGAAGAATTTGAAACGTATCCCTGGGACAAGTTTTTCATGGCACCGATTGACGCTGGTTGCTTGGCCTTTGTAGTCCAAACCTCCGACGTGAAATTTATGGTGCAGACTTTCGCCAGGTTGGCTCACTCTCCGCGGTCCATACACAGGGCTAACAAAAAATACCTCTTCGTTCCTTCCAGAGATGTGGAAGACGCCATATTCGAGACTGGTGTGAAAAACGTTTTCTCGATGAGAGAAATAGATTTCATGCCAGATTTGGTAATAGCCAGATTTGTAGCGGAAAGAAACTTGGTGTCAGGTTACAGCAAACGGACGTTACCAGTTGCAGGTAAGTGAATTTCCATTATAACAGACACTACGATCAGAGCACTGTACTTACGGAGGACCGGCCCGTTGTATCGCATTGCATAAATTAAAGTTTATAAATCTGGTTATTACTAGTAGTCTAAAATGGGAGAAAACTTTGGCCGCTAACGAGTCCATTATCCAGCTACAGGTAACACGAGTGAAGGAAGTAGCAGTTGAGTGATAATTACAAGGGGAAATTGAAGAATTCGGAGAAAAGACTATCCCGATGCCCCTGGGTCTACCATAAATCCCACATGGACTGCCCTGAGAGCGAAGCCGGGTCTCTGCGGTTGGAGACCGGCGATCAACGGCCTGAGCTACAGCACAGTGATGTAGGTCTATATGTAATCGCGTAAGAGAAAAATATTACATTCGCTGGTAGTAAAACGGTAATTTTGCCTATCGTGGTTTCGTTTACTTTTAATTATGTTTCATTTAGCGGCGCTGTCAGTAGCTCAGACTCGTACACAGCGTCAAATGAGAGTATGATGACACAGAAATGACCAGGAAAGGACGTGTAATAGAAACGGTCGGGCCCCAGTTAAGAAAATGTCCGGGATTTTCTAGTTGAAGTTAAGAAATCTGCCAACTGGTGCGTTAATGTCCTCGGTAAAAATCTGTGTATACATGAAACTGTTACAGATTCTTCCAAAGCTGAAGGTAACTTGACATTAGAGTTGATCACTCATCGCTTTGTGGGCCAAAACCCTTCAGAGCGAGTATCCTTAGATATGTGGATGCCAACCATGGACTTTCTGTATAAAGCTAATCTGTACCCTGACAAGATCTCAAACCTCATGGGGAAGCATATCACGATGACAACAATGCACTACCCACCACTAACTGTCATTGACGAAAACGCAGACCCTCCGATTTACGACGGACTTGAGCTACGTTTCATATACGAGTGGGCGCGGGCGGTCAACTTCACCTGGAGCATCGTGTATGATGGCGGATGGTGGGGCGACGTATGGCCCAATGGTAGTGGAGACGGTCTCTGCGGACTGGTATCTTCGGACATCGCAGATGTCGGATTTTCAGCCATCTACCTTTGGGATAACGCACATCTTTTTCTTGATTTCAGGTAGCCTACTGGTTTCATACGAATGCACAATGCATGTCCATAGGCACCCATATCCACTGCGCACGAAAGGCATCTCACACATGCGTCGATCGAGATGGCTAGTGTAGCGGTAACGCTTCTGCTTACCCTGACAAGATTTTTCCGAGGTTTTGTTGACTCCCTCGTGCAAATCGCCTCGCCTCCTTCAAAATCCTGATGCACTAACCATACACATGCATGTCCCCATCTGCATTCCTTGCTACATCTCCTGTACGGCATTATTAATTAAGATCCTTCTTGTCAAGGACTCGAGCCATAACGATGGAACTTGGTACAGACTAACGTGTATTGCATCCACAGGAGCATTTATAAGTGTATCCAACGCTTCATATCTTTAAAGTCCAAATATTATTCTTATCAATTTGTTTTTCTCTATTTTTTATATTTTTATCCAAGAGTAATTTCACGTTTTCATAAATGCAAGTAGCTGGTAAACTTAGGTTTTTTTTATTTCACAGTGCTTCAGACTATCGACAAGAGACTCTTCGAACTGAACAATATGAATATTTTTCCGCATTTGTGGTTGTCTTAATTCAATAGGTACTGAGGTAAATTCATATTTGTTATCGTTTCAGGAATTACGGACGTGTTGCAACATTTTATGTACAGTAAACAGAACGTTTCGTTGACATATTGCCGTATATTTACATTCCAGTTCGATCTACTTCGGATCTTCCCTTACAGTCGTGACTCCAAGACCGAAACTGCTGCCAGGGTGGATGGTTCCAATTCACCCATTCAACCCCGACATGTGGTACGCAGTTGGAATGTCCGTCATTGGGTGCACACTAGCGCTCTATATAACATCCAAAACTTCGATGAGACTATTGGGTTAGTATTGCTGCTATTGCCTGAAGATGAAATCCACAAGTTGTACCGACGACTGAACACGTTTCATACTTCCCGTCACTTCGAAAATTCACATGCAGACACTTCGAAGTGTCTATGGTTTGCGCGTTTTTGTAAGCATGCAAGGTTCATTTTTAGAACCATTCACCCTGTTAGTTCCGCATCCAAGACCACACAGCGATTTATTTCAGAGAACAGGCATCTGTGTAGTACACTAGTAGGCTACAGATTATATCTACCATGAACTCTTTGTTGACACGAAGTCTATGGAGAAATATTCGATTTAGCTGTTTCCATGTACTCAATATTTTCAATGATCTTAGCTGCCCTTCTAAATCGGGTTAAACTTTTATATAAGAATATGGAACGTGTTCTATCTGACTGATGATTCGCAGATACCCAGTACTTTTCAAATTCACAAGCAGCACAAGTACATTTCGTAGCATTATCAGACGAACATTTCATAAAACTACAGTTTCCAATTAATCTCAACGTCCTCAGAGTATTGAAATTTAGTACCCTGACGACGAGGAGGAAGATGATTCTCGAAACGTTCGTGTTTTCTCCATTCATCCAACTGGCACGTCTGGTAGCCTGAGAATAATTCACTAACTTTTATAATTATTATAATTTTCTTGCTTTGGATCTCAACCCAACGAAACTGATAATCACAACCACATAACAATGCGGTACTTGCCTCTGATTTATGGACATGTAGAACAATACATCACTCCATCATGTTTAAGGGAGAGGAACACGAAATAACGTTGTTAACCTGTACTCCACCTGGGTGGAGTGTGCTTTCCGCACCATGGGCTTGCTGGTGCTGCAAGTACCACCGGACGAGCGGGACTTCAGCACTCCCCGGCATGTGCCAATGCGCCATCTTGTCACTTGGCTCATACTCTTCTACTTTGTGGTCACCACGGCTTATTGTGGTGGCCTTGCAACTGTCCTCACTTTGCCAAGGTAAGCCACCGGTGTATGTGCATAAAAACATTTAACATCTTCAGTGGCTACGCTATTTAAAATTAGAATTTATAACAGTATAAATATAAACAAACCTAATAACTATAAGACTGCCTACTTTGAAGTCGCGAGTTTTGACAAATCTGAATAATTTACATAAATGAGAAACAGAATTACAGAATTTATGTTTAATATCAAAATTAAGATGTTATTTGCACTGCAACATTACAGTTACAACTGATTTTGTACAGGTACGAAAAGCCGATTGAATCAGTCAGCGATTTAGCTGATCACAACTTGATCTGGGGAGGCATGGATGATGCTTTCACATTCATCATGAGAGGCTCTTCAGATCCAAAAATGCAGACTGTAGTAAGAAATTTCCGTCTTGAGAGCGAAGAATATCTTACCGCCAGGGCAAAAGTTGGAGATATGGGCTTTGTGATTGAAAGAATGCTTGGAGGTAATGTATAGTACACCTTCTGCAGTATTTCAAATTAATTCTATGGAACGGAGTCCTCAGCCGATAAAGAAATATTGTAGAAATAGAAGATTCATTACAGTATTCATAACAGCCTGTCATTCCATCATACCCTGAGTTAGCTGAAAGTAGCCACTGTAGTGTGGTAGGATGACCGCGAAGATTTGGTGAGTTCGATGGAACTGAGTACCAGGTATAAGAAGAAGTGGTGTTTAAGAAACTGGCGAAAAATTTAATTCTTATGGAATTTGGAAACTTGTAGACTGTCGGAACATGTGCGAAGAAGCGAAAAGCTATTACGCAGAAAAATGGAATATGTCAAAGTATGGATTGTGAGATTATTTTGCCAAAGCTTAAAACAAAATTGCCTTTAATTTTTACTTAGAAGCCTTGGTCATTTTAAAATGTGGTTGTCTTTCAATGGACTCTGTCAATAGCTCAGGCAACATAACATTGAAATTCCATTACAATGATGTGACATTTTGGAAGAGATAATGGCAAATTAAGTAAATGTTTCGCTTCGGTTTCTGATGTAATTTTAACTTAAACATGTACAAGAAAAGGACTCAATCGATTAAGAATATGTAGATATAATTCGTTCTTTTAGGTCACTTTTATATGCCATCCTTTGTAAATGAAGAAACGATGCAACGTCTGCGCGTGATGAAAGGGAATTTGTATTTTTCACACACTGTCTACGTACTTCGCAAAGGATCGCCCCTTGAAACGTCCATCAATAACATGATACAGTGGGTCCGAGATGCTGGATTGTTTGTGTTCTGGGAGGGTCTGACAGTGAGAAATTACATGTCTTCCCCACGCCAACATTCAGTCATCAACAGTCGTAATGAGGAGGACATGGGTCCTACAAAACTCCTTCTTCAACACGTCTCTGTAAGTATAATTAATACACTCATGATATTAAGACGACAAATAACAAGTAATCGCACGTCAGTTTATTTGTTCAAGTAATTATTCTCTTTGCGTTTATATGTTGCGGAGCATAACATAAAATCTTAACCATACACATAAATTTATGAACCCTTATAAAAATTTAAAAAGGATTTTAAAAACATGCTCATGAAAGTAGTTTATTCCCTGACATTTTAGTTTTCGGCTGACAGTTTAGGAGATAAATTTCCCAGTCGCGTCTTTCAAACTTTCGAAGCGCCCTGTGTCTAATGTTTCACATTCGTCGCGTTTCTTTCTTTCTCTTCCCTATAAGTTTTGTTGCAAGCTTCCTCAGATTTTCTTATATAAAAGTCGACTTCCCTTTGTTTTTCGAATATCTGCTAGTGATAATATTCTGATATTAATTTAAGTGTTATATTTTCTGTTATTACAGGGTGCATTCTACATGTTGGGATTTGGTCTGGCTGTAAGTCTGGTGATTCTCATTTTCGAACTTGTAAGATTCAAGTTTCGGCAAATAGTTGAAAAGTGATTAAATAAAATTAGGTACATACAACATAAGAACGTGTGAGGAATCTCGACACAATCTTGGTGGAGCTTATTTCTGATATGGTATTTCAACATGTATTATAAACACGCATATAAAAGAACAGTTTTTGTTGCTTTGCATTTGTTCAAAAGACTTCGTCAGTCTATTAAAAACAATAGAATGTCCACACAAGTCCAAGGATTTATTACATCACCTGCAAGTCGCATTGAGATACAATTTCAGCAGAGCTATTTGTTATATTTCAGTAATATAACAATTTAATTCATGTTTGGAAAAATTATTATATATTGGATATAATAATGCTACAAGACTGTCAAGTTTTTTATATAAATTCGTCGTTAGAACGTTTGTAAAATATCTGTCCGTTCTTCGGAACAAATGGTTGTGATTTGCAGAACAGAATGCCTAATTCATAATTTTAGGTTTTCATAGCGATCTGGTTTTCCTGGGGGTAAAGAAGGCCACAGCATGAATCTGACCACTCGCATCTATCCAGTACTGGGGTTCATTCTCCCATATGGCTTTATGGCGTGGCGTACAAGCTCAAAAATTTATTTACCTTCCAAGGCAGCTACCTAATACCATGTTGCACCATGTAGTCTGGTAGATATTCTTAGTGTCCTACTCCGATTTATCAACGAGGGTTCTTACCTGTTCAACTCATTTAAACTTTTCCGCAAAGGCTATGCATACAGTATGTTCCAGTCGGGTCTAATAACTACTTCCAAGCCAATACAAGACACTTAAAATATACACACCGCTCATAATCCAGACATTTATTATACGTAGTTCAACAACTGGTGCGATGAATTTTGTTTGTTATAGTACATTTTCTTAATAAAGAATAAACATTGAACAATTAATTTACCAAATATTACAAAAATAAAAACGACGGATGTGTTTGTTTTAACGAACTGTATGAATAAAACAGTCCATAGTTAAAGGTCTGGATCAGATTTAAGGATTGCCTAATGGCAGTCTTCAAGTTGCTGCTGAAGAAAGCTGAATTGTGGATGCAGTATTAAAAATTGGGGCCCACCCAGCCTCATATCCAATGAGTACCTTAGTTTCTTTGGCAGAGCGCCTGAAGCTAACAACGCACTGCTATCTAGTGCCAAAATCAAGAATGGGTGGAGCTATACCTGCCCTAGTATGTAAATCATTATTGTCATGGTGCTTAATAAGAAACAGGGAAAACCTTACCTGAAAGATGGCTGCCTTCTGGGTTACGCCGTGTAATATGGTAGAAGTTTGCCAACGTTTCAGAGGTCATCTCCCTGATGATGGCAGCAAGGACCATAGCGCTACAACCCAAGAGATACCCATCTTTGTACTCACCGCCATGAAAACCTCAAATCCTATTTCTTTACCTGCCTTAATATTCTCCTTAGCGCCCTATTCTCAAACTCCCTCAGTCTTATGTTATTTCCTTAAGGAGTAATACTCCAAAAATATTTCTTTGCCTTAACTTTCACCATAAGATGTACGTAGTCTCTTTTCTGTACTTCCATCAAATTTTTATTATTCAATGACGATAACAAAGCTCCATAAACATTAATTTATAAAATCGTGTGAATAATGTACCCAAGTTTGTATAACATTTGTTCAGTTGCATGATTTTTTGTTTTCAAAGAGAATGGCCGCTTCTTTGAATAGCCTTTTACAGCTGTTTCCAGCTACCTGTTATTTCTTGTGAACAAACGCTGTTTGAACAGAAGGACACAGCTCG